TTATGTTCTGCCTTTTTTTGCATTAATTTATTAGTGTCTTTTCGACAATTTTCTAGATGCAGTCACAGGTTAATTTTTAGATAACTTAAAATACGTTCATTTAGAAAATAATAGCTTGATGAGACATCATTTACTACAATGTAACTGAATCTGTCAATTATGATTTCTAAGAAAAATAAATACTATTACATGTTTATAAAATGTTGGGTTGGTAGGCATGATTTAAATAAAATAACACTGATAAACTTAAAGCATATACTCGTATTTTAAAGATATTATATGTAAAGAAGGTACAGGCTCTTTATTCTACTCAAAAATATATCTTTCTCAATGCAGTGAATAATTTATAACATCTTGACTTTGGCGATGAATACAAAAAAATAATAAACTGTTAAAATATCTCTAAAGCGATTTTCTTAATTCGTTGTTACATGTATTTGTGATAGAAGTATCAGGCTTGTGTTAAAAATGAGAAAAGGGTGTGGGAGGGGGGGGGGGGGGCTTGCTATTACAGTATATAGAATAAGATCTCTGATATATTATTCATATGCATGATTTTATTGATACCCGTAAACCTTAAAATAGGAGCTGTATTTATTTTTTTACTGTTTACCTTTGTTACAAAGAGCTAACCACCTCATAGATGATGACGAAAGAAATGACGTCACTTAGTTTACAAATAAACACGAACGTATTTTGCATTCACTGGGATTACAGTTGGGATTTCTATTGTGATTTGATTTAAAGAAGCATCTTTATACCTATAATTTTGTTGACAAGGTAGGTGATGTATTTGTGATTCCGAATGTCTTATTGCCTATATATTGAAGGTTCGACAAACCGTCCATCATTTTCTTTTTAAAACGGTATCATTTCCGAATTTCCTCGTCCGTAATGTGCAGTGAAAAAGGCACTGCCAAGCGGGCAAAACATAAAGTGCACCAGAATATAAAAGTATAAGGTTTAATGCACAGATTAAAAAATACAAAATTTATTGACACATTAAAAATGATCAGTTTAATGAAGCTTTAATCATTCATTAAATATTGATACAACCGGATCCAGAACTTTAAAAAACTCTTAATAAATAACTGATATATACAATTAAACACAGTTTAGATTCTGCATGGGCCACTGTTCACCAGAATATAAAAAGTAACAGAAAAAAACAAAAACAAAAACAAAAAAACAAAACAAAACAAAACAAAAAACAAGAGATTCTAATAAAAAAGATAAGATTCATTGGCATAATATGATCTGAGAGATTATCTCCATATCCTTCATTTGGTCACTGTGATAAAAGGTTCATAGAGAAATGTCACTTTATTTGTTGTAAAAGCATGTATGAGAATTTGGATTTTATAAAGATATGCTATGAGGCTCCTCATAAGAATATTTATAATACTAATCCAACAAAAGGTTTATGTGAGATAATATATCATAACTCATGCAAAAGGATTTATCAGCATTTTGAGGATCTCTTAGTCCTAGTGTATTTTAGGGTAAACAATGGCAGTGTTTATATGAATGTTCTAAACATTAGATATATAACACAGTAATAATGAATAAATACAAAGATGACCTTCATAGAAAATGTATTTATAAACAAAAATATGTAAAACTTACCATGTATATACTCAGTATATAGTAATATTCATTAAATAATCCAGTGAAATATCATCTAGCCTGATCCAGGATTCAGCTGTTCAGAACTTTATTGGAAGAAAAATGGTTGAAAATCAGTGTAAGTACTGAAATCCATAGGATCATACAGTTATTTACATGAAGTCTCCAGGGCTGTGAAAGTCTGTGTTATTGATTCAAAATAAGCAGCCACCGAGGCTGTAAAGGACCAACATGACGTCATACTCAAGATTTGAATCGCAGCCAAGTTTATAGCGTGCAATTGCATAGGTAGCTGTGATTTGAATCGCTGCCAAATCGTAGTAGCAGCGTTGAATCGTAGTAGCAGCGTAGTAAAAAGCTAGTACAGTGTAAGCGCCCTATTGGACATATAGGGCTGTGTACTGAGTTGACCTACCTAGCCCCACCCCAGGGTTAGGGGATAGGGTTAGGGTTAGGGGTTAGGGGTTAGGGTTAGGGCTGTACTCAGTTGACCTAACTAGTCCCCCAGACCCCCAACCTGCACTCCTTTGAACCCCCAGCGGCTTAGCCAATCAGAATCCACCATTTTTGACCTCATTTGCATAAAAAGTGCACTCAGTTGACCTCCCTATCTCCAATGTCCTAGATATTGACCTCGCCAACTAGACGGCTTATACTACTGCTTCCGACGCCAATGTTTGGTATTTTGCTAATGCCGCTGACTGAATTCTGGGTCTCATTTTACAGTTAAGATGAAGTTCCTCCTGCTCTACCTTGTGGCTTCCATGGTATTCTATTCAGATGGACAACAATGGGTAGGGTTCTTTCAATACCTGGATGGAGAAGTTCAAGGAGTAGAACAAGCCCTGGTCGAATCCGAAACTAATATAACTCAGTGCAATGCTTGCTACAATATCAAAGGTAGTATTGTACAATCATGGTGTCTCAAATACTAGATTTTAAAAATATAATTTTCAATGAAGAAAATGCCATATATTCTATTACGATTTAATGCGAACACCATAGATGTCAAATTCATGCGAGCATCATGACTCTCTAATTGTAAATAAAAATGTCCCTTTACTGGTTATGTCAATATTATTTTAAGCAATATACAAGTAACATTCTCCTTTGATATCCAAAGCCCTTAATAAATAGCGGTTATACTGAACATGCACCATTTAAAATTGTGTTGGTGTGTTGGTGTTGGTGCTGATTTTGTTATGTTAATACTTCAGAAATGAAAGAAAAAATTATATATATATATATATATATATATATATATATATATATATATATATATATATATATATATATATATATATATATATATATATAGTTAAAATCCTAAGTAAGGCCATTCCAAGATTTTTATATTTAGCGTCCGCGTGCGCCTTGGTTTTTTACACCCTATATAAAGAAACACACACAACATCAGGAGTCATGAAATTGATAAATTTAGTCGAAATTTTTGAATTTTGTAAATTTCTCCAAATAATTCTGTACAGTAAGTTATAATGGGTGTATTTTAAGCATTTAATCCCTTGTTTTTGCTTAAGAATAGATATTTCTTCTATTAAAGCAGTTTAGTTAGATCAAATCATTTGAAGGGCGTCATTTTTATGACTTTTAAGCCTGTGTTTTATGTTTTGTCTTGTGTGTTTGTGGCGAATAGGTATAGGTAGGTTTTTGAAAGATGGGTGGACGCTAAACAGAGAAAAAAATTGGAATGGCCTAAATGAAAAATTAAATTAAACAATTTTATACTTGAAATTTAACTTTTTAAGGTCTTCTGTCTTCACAGAAGACCTTATAGTTATTCTATTGTTTCTTGTTATTATTTTTTTTTCCCGCACACTAAATTTTGTGCACGCGATTTCTCGAAGACTACTGGGCGGATTTTCATGAAATTTACAGGAACAATGTGTTATTATCTGAAGTTATTTTATCCGAAAAATTTTCTGGAAATTTTTATCTGGTGCCAAGTTATGGACCATTTTCTTAATTTAAAATGACATTTTGTCCGCGGTTAATCTCAAGAACGGTAAAAGATATCAATGTTAAACTTTCAGGGATTATAGATCGTGATACTTACTATCTAGGATGCGATGTTTCGTTCATGGTCAGTACTTCCTGTCGTTAAGAGATGCGAAGATAAAAAAATCGTATTTTCTAGCTTTTTTGTTTTTCAATATTTTTCATTTATTTTTGGAATGTTAATAGAGACCCTTCTTTTGATGCTTACTATATAATTTGTTTAAATATTGATGCATATGAAGTCTATATATTTACATTTAAAAATCTGAAGCGGCTGTATCTGTCAAGTCCGACATTTCGCGAGTAGGGGGTTAAAGAGGCAGCTGAGCGTTTGCTTGAACAAAAGTAATATAAGGATAAATGAAATGTAAATGAATACGCTGATTTTCACGTTGTAGTTACGTTGCCATTCTGTGTTAAACTAAAGTGTTTATCCAAGGTCTTCACAAACGTGTTTCATAACTGGTTTTGGTGTGTCATCAAAGTAGAAAAAGAAAAGACTACATGTACAAATGAAATGCGATATCTACAACTTTTTGTTGTGCACCACGGAAAAGAGATCTTAAAGCATAGTTATAAGTAAAAGTTTTACAAGAAACAATTTATTTAGAGGGTATAAAATGTAACCACTGTTTTTTCAATGCACACTTGTGTCATATTAAACTAACAGAAAAGACACAGAGACGAATACTTTTTAAAGGAGCGTTTAACGGAGTTTACATACACTTTTTTCTGACAGATCTGATGCAAGTCATTAAACATAAATTGACTGTCATAGGGAAAGGCATGTTTTCGGCGAAACTTTCCAACCCTTTCATAAAAGTGTAACCTAATTGGGAAAGTCCACTTTGGGGATACACAGGAAATTTACAAAAGTTAAAAATTCATAGTCGTTTCACTGCTTTAGTGTTACTTAGATAGATACGATATCTAATGTGTAGAATGTGTTAAATATACTTTCTAAACCTCGAAATTTAGGCGATAAGAACATTTTTTTATTTCATTGAAGCTATCAAACCTTTTAATAGAACATTCTAAAGAGAAGGCACTGAGATTTACTTGTGGCGTTTGGCGCGAAATTATGAATTGTGACTCTCCTTTCATAATTCTAAGACATATGAACTGTTGCAGAATTGCATGTACATACAAGTAAATTTAGAGTAGGGGATAAAAATAGCGAAATAGATAACGTGTTGAATTTTTACGCTGGTGACCCGTTTCAATTACCAGTGTGTCCAAAGATCTTTTAATCAATTTTCAGCTCAATTTTACGGGGTTTTTTCCGGAATAGGACGGAAGACCTCTCGTTGCTCGCAACGAGATCGTTTCTAGTTAATAATACAATTCTTCATATTTAGGTATAAAGGGCTTAAAAGGAGATAATGGAATCAGTCGAGTAGCAGGCCCGAATGGAACCACGGGGCTCAAAGGCGCTGTAGGACCGAAAGGATCGAAGGGTAATACAGGAGCCACAGGTCCCTCGGGCCCACCTGGTGCGCCAGGACCCAAGGGACCTAAGGGTGTCGAAGGACCCAAGGGTAATCCTGGGAATGCCGGAGATACAGGCGATGCTAATGCAGTGAAGGGACAAAAGGGTGATCCAGGCCCCACTGGAATCGCTGGAATCAGTATCCCGGATCCACGGGGGATAAGGGAGAAAAGGGGGGGTGTGGGGGTAAAGGGCACTAAAGGGAACGTAACAATAGGTGCTGCTGGGTCCAGCGGAGATCAAGGCCCTAAAGGAGATCCAGGAGAAAAGGGGGAACAAGGAGTCCAAGGGAAATAACGCCACCAATTCTAACCCCCAACAGCAGCAGCAGCAAAACGGGGCCGGGTCTTTCCTGATCAGCATGTCCACCGCCATAGTAGTGTATTTCCTGGCAGTCTGTTTCATCTCTTCAATGAATTGGAATATTGAATTATTTTAAAGAAACAATACCACACTGAGGATTTTTTTGGGATGGGTTTTTCGTATTAAACGTTGATTTTATACTCGTATATCCTGACATTTAAAAACTTAAGATCTATCAATGAACAAAGATTGAATTGGTTTTCCCGTTTTACTATTATATGGTTTCTAAGTGTTCACTTTGATAAATGTATTTATTAAAAAACTACATGATTAATTGTATGATATTTAATTATCACCGATAAAATCAAATGTCCCGTTTTGGGAGTTTCAAAACAATAAATCTGTACAATAACAATAAAAAATAGAAACAAGGTTCAAAATTCACATGGCAAACTTTAATTGGAAATTGTGTATATTAACTAAGTTGTTAATTGTAAACGGACGTATTGGTGCTAACTCATTAGGAGAGGTGACGTGTAAAGGTTTGAGCACTGTAGACTGCATGATTATTCACTTCATAAGTATGTCATGAATATGCAAGTACTTGAACAAAACAAATTATTTTCTGATGTTCATAAACCTTTTGCTTTGCATTAAAAACTACAAAAAAATGATTTCAGTATGAATTGTTGGAGTGCAACGGAATGTGTAGAAAAAATCAAACCATGGGATTCTTAGAGAACATGTACAAGTGTACGTATATGTACAGTCTATTGATACTGATCAACTAAATCAAGTTTTAGCATTGTTAGATTTAAGCAAATTATATATCATTCCTAAATGTGCATAAAGTTAATAAAAAAATTGTTTTAAAAAAATCTTTTGAGCAAAAAAGTTTAAAACCACGTGTTTTATTTATTTTCTCATGGGTTTGTCTAAATGCCGTTATCTGATTGGTCAGAAAGATAGACACCTTGTTTATCCTGACAAGTGTATTCATAGCAATTCACAGTTATCTTTCTTGACTTCCATATTTGGAAATCGTCCAGACCTGTTTAAAGACTTAACTAAAGCTCCGGGAATAGATGTAGAAATTAATCAAATAGTTGATAATGATATAGATAGCTTAACAGTGCATAGATCTTAACCAAGACCTTAATAAATATATAAATCATGCAGAGTGAAATTAAAAAAGCTATAAAAAAATCTGGAAAACAATAAATCGAGTGGGGAAGATGGTATAAATCAAAGTACTCAGAAGTACAGAGAGCCGGTCTCATTTACAATAGTAGAATGAATTTCTTACATGAATCACGTTTATATTTTGATGAAAAAATTATTTTAAAACTATCAATATAAATGATAAAACACTGACAGTGAGTTTTTCAATCCTAATACCACGGTCTGATTTTGTCAGAATTAGAATTAATCTGGTACCGCAGCTGAATGTAAACAAACAGGCCAGCCTGGTTCCCTCTCCTGCTTTACTCGTATGTGTACAGAACTACGATAACACTGGTTATCAAAAATCCTTACGCTAATGAACTATGCTCATTGACTTAGGACTGAAGTTTTCAAAGTCATTACTACTAATGTTTATTTATATAGATTAAACTTCGTTTCATTTTTGTTGTTTTATTTAGCGTTTGTATTATCTCAAAAGCGGTTGAGAGTAAGAACTATATTTTTGCACGTAACTTTAAAATGGCGACTATGGGGTCAACTTCCTGCCTTGAACGCAGAAGGATAAAACGTACGCTGAACTAGGACCTGGGGTCCCCCGCAAATAGTTCGTCATTTTGCGTAGTAATAAAACATTCTAGGAACTCTCCAGGCATTAAAGGCACAAAAGTAAACTCATCGATATCAATACGGAGACCTCAGGTCACCTTATATATTAATTGAATTTTATATTTTACTCCAAAATAATCATATCTATAACTTTATAAAGATCAATTTTCTAATATATATATTAGCAGAAACGTGAAAGCAATAAAGGGTGACCAGAGGTAACCTCATATTGTACATCAATAGGGGGACCAAAGATCAC